TCTTTTTTTGGTGGGAGGGGCATTTCAGCCTGTTTAATTTTTCAAGAAAATGAAGAAATTTGTTCTTTGTTCCCTATGGTAGGCACCAGTTTAGCATAGGAGTTAAACTGGTAGAATCGGTGAAATATCGGGGCCTGGGGCTCCTTTGGAGAGTAGCTCTATAACAACTTTCTCTTACTACGAATGTTTCCCAGGGTTGTTCACACACACACACACACACTCTGTTGATGCTTTATTATTTGATGCACAAATAATCATAACTATTAGATGAATATTGTGGATTGTGTCCTTTATCGGCATAAAGTGCTCTTCTTTCCCTTGTTTAAGGCTTTCTGTCTTAAATTCAAGCTTGCATGATACTTAGATTTCAAAATCTGTATTTTTTTCTTTGTATTTGTTTTTATTTTTCTTCCTCCCCTTTCCCTGTTGACATTTCTGAGATACTCTGTTTTAGATGTATAAAACCCACAGTTGGGATTTACGTCTGATGTGGGACTCATCCTCTTTGGACATGTGAATTAATACATTAATAAATATTCCAAATATTCTAAGTCTGAGTTCTCATCATATATTATGCTTGTTGTTTGTGATGCATCTTTAACAGCACCCTCTCCTGGTTTCTTACCTACCTCTGTAGTCAACCCTCTGCCTCCATTTCAGCCTTATGATCACACCTTTTAAATGTGGATGTTTATCAACATCAGCTCTCAACTCTCTAATCGCTTAATGCTTTATATAATCTCTTCATATTCCCTCGGGTTATCTTATTCATATCCAATATTTTAATGACCAAACCTATAAGTCATACATTTATTCTTCTAACTCAGAGCTCTATACCCATTATGAAACTGTCCACTGGGCATCTCAACTTGAACTCAAACTCAAATTCAGTCTGCCAAATTAAGTTCATAATATTTATGTTCTCCCTACGAACCAACAAACCAACCAAGAACAACCATAAAAAAAAAAACCCAAACCAATCTTCTTTCTCAGTGAATTACACTTTCATCCACCCAGTTGAATAGATCAAGAACCTGGAATTAACTCCACACATCTCCCTGGCCTTAACAATGTTCTTCCATCCATTTTCTACATCTCAATGTTTACTTCCTAACTACAAGTATCTTTTGGATCCTTTCCCTCTGTCTCCATGGTCACTAGCAGATGTTAATCTCCTAGTATTCCATACCCTCTCACCAGTGACCACAGTCAGTCTGAGTATGGTCCCATCCTATTTAAAACCTTCAAAGGCTTTCATTGCTCTTCAGATAAAGATACAAATTCATGCTCATCTCTTCGTTCTTCTCTGGTTTTCTTTTAGTCTCTTTCCTTTACCTGCTCATTGAAATAAGGATTGAAAGACCGATGATTTCAGAAACATCTCTGTATTGGGCACCTCCTCTTTGCCCTACGTCTTACTCTGGGTCCTGCTGTTGCAAGCAATTTTGTGAAGGTTTCAACCAGCCTTAAGCATTCGAAACTGGATGTGGCTTCTCTCAAGCCCACACTAAGCCCCTCTTGATTTCTTCCATGATTTCTCTGACTGCACATGATGGAAAACTCACAGGAATACACTCAGGGCCTTTGCATATGCTGTCCTATTCACCTAGATCGTTCCATTGATGCTTTTATACTTTGCACATACTTATTCAACCTACGAGGCAGGGTAGAGCCGCCCATGTAGGTTTCCAAGAATGTAACTCTACACGGTAGTAAAAAGCCTTGTCTTTCTCCCTCGGAGTGGCTGGTGGTTTCAAACTGCTGACCTTGCAGTGAATCTACTCTATGGTAGTGAGTTTTGTTTTGTTAATCAATTAGTTTATTCTTGACAGTTTCGTCAACATACAGATAACATATCACACACTTCACTTGTTCAGTCACATTCATAAGAGTTGTGTTTATTCGACCTTTTGCTCACAGCTCACTTCTTCAGAGAAGTCTTTCCCGGGCTCCATGAATAGGTCAAATCCCTCTATTTTAGATTCTTGCAGGATTGTGTATGTACTCTGGTCACAATTGAACTTTTGTACTGTTGTGCTTAATTAATGTCTGTTCTGCCCGTAATACTGTAAACTACCCAATAAGCTGTGAGGGTCACCAAATAGACTCCCCAGACTACTGCACTAGCTAGGAAAAGGCAAGGAAGGGTCAGGAAATGGCCTTCAAATCTAGACTTAGATATCATGAGGTTTTGATCTGCTTAGGTCCCTGAGGAAATAGAACATTGCCCTGGTCGCTCTCCACAGTCTCTCATGTTCCTGAGTTTTGTTACTACTTCATGCATCTGTGTCTCCCAGTGTGTCTCCAGATCTTAAACCTGGAGAGCCACGGTGGTTTTCACAAGAGTTGCATGTTTTTCCAGTCACGAATCCTATTCAAATCTATATTTTCTAGGTGTACTAGTTTTCTATTGCTAAAACTATGTCTAATGCAATCATTTTCTATGGTCTATAGCAAATGACCCAAAAAGACAGAGTTCTCTGTTTATTAAATAAAAGTAGCCACAGAAAGGCAGGCATCTTACTGAGTCTTATAGAGGATGTGTGTGTCTATGTAGAAAGTAGTGTGTCTCTCTTACTGAGGTTTGCAATATTAGCACACACAAAGTTATTAATGAGAATGTTTGTTTGTTTGTCTTATGACAAACTACATATGAATAGTAGACCTTCCACAGACACTTTTTGCACGCTGTCTACATTTGAGGGACTTTTCTGGTTCTGATGCTTCCAATGTGCAGATTGCATAACTGATAAGTAAACACGTGATTTTAGAATTATGCTGGTTCAACTCTCAACTCCACTACATATTGTCCTTCACGCTCTGAGTTTATTTCTTCCCTGTAAAACGTGGGTAAGACTGGAATATCCATCACTGTACTGCTGTGAGCATTACACAGGGCGAGGAAATGTTTATGAAGCACTTAGCACAACACCTAGCACTTTGTTATTAATTATTCATGCACAGGTCCCACTCTCTAGTACCATAAAGAGAACAGAAAGCCTGATACTTGTGTCAATACACAAGTATAGGAAAAGAATCTAAGGGAATCTACACTCTGTGTAGATGAGGCAGAGAAGACTGGAATTCTTGGGTGGTACCATGTGTTAGTCCAGGCTGACTAGAGAGACAAATTCATAGACATTCATATGTATATAAGAAAGAGGTTTATGTACAAGAGCAATGAATATTGAGGAAACATACCCACCCAGTCCAGATCTAGTCCCTAAGTCTGATATTAGCCCATATGTCCAATACCAATCAATACAGTCCTCTTCTGACTCGTGAAACTCATGTAATGATTCCAAGTGCAGCAAGGTCACGGGCCAGTGGGTGGGACATCTTGTGGATCCAGTGGTGGCATAACCATCTCAGCATTGGCAGGGGTCTCCTCGTGGCTTCTCTGGCTCCAGAGGTCTAGCATAGTTCATGTGTTTTGTCAGCTGAGAGTCTCTCAGAGAGTGACCAGAAAGAGAGAGTCTCCCACCTCCTAGGAGGAAATCCAAGAGTTCCCAGAATTCTCAGGAGAAGGCCATGCCCACACAGAGGCCTCATTGGTTTTGACCCAGTTGACAGACTAGACTCCACCCCTTCACTCTTAATCCTCTCAAAGTCCTAAACTGACACCAGATAATGTAACTACCACATACCATTATAGAAGTTTAATCTGAACTCTTCTTAGGTGTTGGCCAAAATTTCATTAAGAGTAATGTCAAGAGGTTGATGCTGTAAATACACAAAATGCTGTACTGCCGGTGCAGCATGAGCCCTAGTGGTGGCCCAGCATCAGACTTATTCCAGTGGTGGGACAGTTCAACTAACACCTCTGCAAAACAAACAAACAAACAAACAAAAACCCAGCTCTTGTCTTCATCATAATCTCTTTTAGCACCAAGAAGCTGAACACACTGAAAACAACACTCTTCTGAACCTAATCCTTTTTTTTTTCCAATCCAGAAGCTTATTTGATATGTTAAGAGAATCTGCCCTTCAAAATCCTGATGAACCGCTGTTAATTTCAGCTTGAGATACCTGGTGAATATTGTTATTCTAATACTGCGCTTTGGTATTTTCCTTTCCTTAGGAAACCATGATCCTCCGGTCTTCGTTACTCATCTGCCTCTTCCTACTCTTCTCCGGGTCCTGTGAATTTTTTGCCGAAGCAAATTTTTCTCGAAGCTTCCCTTGCGACGAGAGAAGGCAGAATGGCTCTGTCATTGCAGAATGTGACCGTCGTCAACTGAAAGAAGTCCCCCGCACAGTGGGCAGGTCCGTGATGGAACTAGACCTGTCGGAGAATTTCATCACGCGCATTACAAATGAATCCTTTCAAGGGCTGCCAAATCTTATGAAAATCGATCTGAACCACAATGCGAAGCTACAGCATCGGAATGAGAACCCGGGTACGTATATGGAAGGCATGAAGATTACAGATGGAGCATTCCAGAACCTCAGAAACCTAAGCGTGTTACTGCTCGAAGACAACCAGTTAGACAAAGTCCCCGTTGGTTTGCCGGCATCTTTGAGAGTTCTTAGCCTTATCCAAAACAACATCACCGCAGTGACTCAAAAGAATACTTCCGACCTAACGCACTTGGAGAGGCTTTACTTAGGCTGGAACTGCTATTTTGGCCATGGTTATAACAAAACTTTTGACGTGGAAGACGGACCCTTTCAGAAGCTGACGCATTTGAAAATACTCTCGCTCTCCTTCAACACGCTGCTGCACGTGCCCGGCAAACTGCCGCGCTCCCTGACCGAACTTTATCTTAGCAACACCAAGATCCAAAACATCAGTCAAGATGACTTCAAGGAATTGAAAAATTTAACAACACTCGATTTAAGCGGGAACTGTCCGAGATGTTTCAATGCGCCTTTTCCATGCGAACCCTGCCAAGGAGATGCCTCGCTTCAGATCCACCCCCTGGCGTTTCAAACGCTGACCCAACTTCTCTACCTCAACCTCTCCAGCACTTCCCTCCGAAAGGTCCCCGCAACGTGGTTTTACAACATGCCTCGACTCAGGGTGCTGTACCTGGAATTCAACTACTTAGTGCATGAAATCGCTTCTGGGGAATTTTTATCATACCTGCCCTCTTTAGAATGCCTTGACTTATCTTTCAATTATGCCAGGACAGAATACCCACAACATGTTAATATTTCAAACAATTTTTCTAAGCTTGTGTCTCTCAAGGTGCTGCATTTAAGGGGTTATGTGTTCCAGGAACTTAGCAAAGAAGACTTCCTGCCCCTAATGGCGCTCCCCAATTTAGAGACGATCAACTTGGGCATTAATTTTATTAAGCAGATTGATTTTACCATTTTCCAACAGTTCCGAAACCTGAGTGTTATTTATTTGTCAGAAAACAGAATCTCACCCTTGGTGGGTGCCAGGCAATCTTCCCAGAGCCATATCCTTAAGCCACGCTCAGCGTATACTGAGTTTGACCCGCATTCAAATTTTTATCATAGCACTCACCATTTAATGAAGCCTCAATGTAGCCGTTATGGCAAAGCCTTAGATTTAAGTCTGAACAGTATTTTCTTTATTGGGCCAAAACAATTTCAAGCTTTTGGTAACATCTCCTGCTTAAATCTGTCATCCAATGGCAATGGCCAAGTGTTACATGGCAATGAGTTTTCAGATATACGTCATCTCAAATATTTAGATTTGACCTTCAATAGACTAGACTTTGATGATGATAAAGCTCTCACTGAATTAACCGACTTGGAGGTACTTGATCTCAGCTCTAACTCGCACTATTTTAAAATAGCTGGAGTAACACATCGTCTGGGATTTATTAAGAATTTAACGCAGCTCCAAGTTTTAAACCTGAGCTACAATGACATTTACACTTTAACCGAGTTTGAACTAACCAGCAAGTCCCTGGTGGAATTAGTTTTCCGTGGAAACCGCCTTGATCGTTTGTGGTATGGGGGAGACAGCAGATACTGGTCCATTTTCACCCATCTCAGCAATCTAACCCGGCTTGATTTATCTTACAATAACCTGCACCACATCCCAAATCAGGCATTCCTTAACTTTCCCCAGAGCCTCACCTATCTCTATATAAACAATAATCTGTTAACGTTTTTTAACTGGACATTACTCCAGCAATTCCCTCGCCTCTGCTTTCTTGACTTAAGTAGAAACAAGCTCACCACTGTCACGAATAGCCTGTCTGCATTCACGTCTTCTCTACAGACACTGGTGCTGAGGCAGAACCAGATCACCCATCTGCCCTCTGGTTTCCTTGCGGAAGCCAGAAGTCTGATCCATCTCGATTTAAGTTACAATCTGCTCAAGAGGATCCAGAAGTCTGCGCTTCAAACCAAGACAGCCACCAATCTAACTGTCTTAGATCTAAGAGGCAACCCTTTTGACTGTACATGTGAGATTGGGGATTTTCGAAGATGGATGGATGAGAATCTAAACGTCTCAATCCCGAGACTGACAGATGTCATCTGCGCCAGTCCCGGGGATCAAAGAGGGACGTGTATTGTGAGTCTCGAGCTCATGACTTGTGTGTCGGATACCATTGCGGCGATACTATTTTTCTTCACATTCTTCATCACCGCCATGGTGATGCTGACTGCCCTGACTCACCATTTGTTTTACTGGGACGTTTGGTTCATCTACCATGTGTGTTTAGCAAAGATTAAAGGGTACAGGTCTCTTTCCACGTCGCAAACTTTCTACGATGCTTACATCTCGTATGACACCAAGGATGCTTCTGTCACAGACTGGGTGATCAATGAGCTGCGCTTCCACCTGGAGGAGGAGAATGAGCACAAACATGTTCTCCTTTGTTTGGAGGAGAGGGATTGGGATCCGGGATTAGCCATCATTGATAACCTCATGCAGAGCATCAACCAAAGCAAAAAAACCATATTCGTCTTAACCAAAAAATATGCCAAGAGCTGGAACTTTAAGACAGCTTTCTACTTGGCCCTGCAGAGGCTGATGGAGGAGAACATGGACGTGATCATTTTCATTCTGCTGGAGCCAGTGCTGCAGCACTCTCAGTATCTGAGGCTGCGGCAGCGCATCTGCAAGAGCTCCATCCTCCAGTGGCCGGACAACCCCAAGGCAGAGGGCTTGTTCTGGCAAAACCTGAGAAACGTGGTCTTAACTGAAAATGATTCGCGTTATAATAATCTCTATGTTGACTCCATTAAGCAGTACTGACTGATGTGAAGTCAGGGTGCAACCACACAGTGAGGTTCACCTGCACAGCAATCCCACTTCCATCTCATGGGCTATTGCTGTAGGACCAATTACCTTCCAAGTGGATGGCTAAAAACATGTTATTTATCAGTTCACAGTTTCTCTGCATCTGGACTCAGGATCCGGCTTACACAGGTACTCTGCTTGTGGTCTTCTCCCCGAGGTGACCACTTGGCCCACAGACATCTCCTGGAGAAGAATCCACCTCCAAGATCATCGGCCAGTAGTAGTTGCCGGGATTCTGTTTCCCGAGGGCTGCCGGCCAAGGGCTGTGCTCAGTGCCTTGCCACGTGGGCTTCTTCCACGGGTCAATTTGTTTCCTAAAAGCCAGCAAAGAAAGTTTTTACCACCAAGATGGAAGGCACAAGGCTTTATCATACTATGGTGGAAGTGACAGCCTATTCCTTTTGCCACATTTTATTTTGGAGACGTGAACCGCTGGCTCCACTCATAATCCACACAATTCCTCCACCAAGGAAGCAGTCTGTGACCAAGACAGTTGCTGTGTACCTCTAGTCCAGGGACAGCACTGAAGGCTGTTGAAGGAGGACATTAGCACAGCCATTGCCAGAGGAAAAGTGTGATGACTGAAATGGGGACAAATGATTGTCTCACTTTAAGGGAAGCAGTCTATGACAGATGCTAAGCTTGATTCCGTCCAGGGAAAAGAACCGATGACGATGGAGATGGATGACAGAGATGGCAACTCTGATCCCTCAGACCAGGAAAGACACTTAAGAGCTGAGATAGATCTCTAAGAGGTGCCGAATGCACCAGGTGACACTGTCAGAGGAGGTGACACCAGAATAACTGTCTATGAAATTGTTGTACCGCGTTTCAGCAGAAATTAATTTTTACATTTAAAATATCCCTGCAGTTAGTCATGACAATATACATATTTCTTTAAATCATTTTATTGGGGGCTCATACAGCTCTTTTCACAATCCATATATACATCCACCGTGTCAAGCACATATTTTCTGCAAACCCAGCTTACATATGTCGATATATGTACAAGCCAAACACGTTGTGCTGATTTACTTGGTGAACCTTCGAAGCCTTCCAGGAGGATGGTGGTGCAGTGGTTAAGTGCGTGGCTACTAACCAAGCCCATCAACTGATCTTTGGGTGAATGATGAGCCAGTCGCCTCCATCAAGGGTTACAGCCTTGGGCAGCTCTACTCTGTCCCATAGGGTTGCTATGAGTCAGATCGACGCGTTGGCAGTGGGCTTGCTTTGGCTAATGAGCTCCTATCAGAGTTGTCATTATTACCCAATTACCCTCTTTCCTTTACTTGCCCCCGTGGCCCTGTGTAACACAGGTTCTGCTCTGCACTAAGTGGACCTGGCCATCCCATGCAACAGTAAGCCGGGTCTGATGTGGTGGGAGTTGGACCTTGAAGTTCTGTGCGTGTGTGACACCATCTCCCAGAAGCCATCCAGAGAGGTCACATCTGACCTCTACTTTTGAGAGATCCAGAAGAGATTGAAAAGGGAGAGCAGGCCGCTTATGAAAAGGCCAAGGTCAGGGAAGAACTTGAGGGCGAATGGGTTGCTTCTGCTCCTGACTTGACCTGTGCTCGGCCCAAGGTCACAGATGAGTCTGAAGGTGCGCAGGTGCCCTCAGCGTCGATGCAGCAGTTTCCTGCTGACTGGAGCGCTCCGCCTCACACTGAAGACCAGTCATCAGCCCTACTGCTCAGGCCACTGAGTGGGCGGAAACAAGCACTGCATGGTCTTCAGCTGTTCTTCTGGGAACTTTTTAGGAACAGAAATGAAGTTGATGGAAAAGGAACACCAATTTCTAAAGGTTAAAACACAACAACAACACACATATAAAGGGACTTTTAGAAGGTTGTTAAGAAAATGAAATTCAAAGATCATTGATTTTTTTCATGATATTTTTGTGGCCCCCTTGTGTAGCTTAACCCTGTACGTTCCAGAGACTAGAGAAGGTGTGTTTTGCCCATCGCTGTGTCAGTTTTTACTACCATGTTTGATACAGGTCCTCAATAAATAAGAGTTGAGTAAATGTGTTTAAATAGGAGAGACTGAGTATGAGAGAGTCCGCAGGTATCATCCTTCTCCACACCCTGATTACTCATTACCCACTCCCAGGAGCTGGCACACAAGACTCAGAGCTTGGGTGAGAATGGTGTGTTTTCTCACCTGACTATTGGGCTGTGCTCCAGAGCAAGCAAAGCCTAGACCAAGAAGCAATACAGGCAAGATATGAAATAGAAGTGAGTAAAACTGAGTGCAATGGTGTAGAGGTCATGAGCTGGCCCATGTAATACCAGAGTCTGACCATGGACTTGGAAGAAGGTCTCTGGCTGTGTCTGTGGGGTGTAGTCTACAGGCTCGGTGGCAAATTTCCCCATGTCTGTTCCACATCATATTAGTAAGTAAGAACTCCACACAAAATGCTCCTGAGAGCAAATAGACTTGCAGGAGCCCTGGTGGTATAGTGGTTACCAGGTGAGCTGCTATCTATAAGGTTGGCAGTTTGAAACCTCCAGCCATTCCTTGGGTGAAAGACGAGGCTTTCTATTCCTATAGAAAGTTACCTTCTCAGAAACCCGTGGGGGTGTGGGGGGCCTTACTACGAGTCCGAATCCACTCGATGACAGGGAGTTTGGTTATTGCAATGTTTCCAGTATGCCTTGTGATCTCCAGGGAGAAGCTAAATGACATGGTGCCTCAAAATTTGTTTGGCCACAGATACGTTTGCTGGCAAATCCTTTCATGTTCCCTCCCACTTTCTTTGGAAATGTTGATTTGATGGCCCAATAGAGATTGGCCCAACCAGGCGAGTGCCTGGAAACGGTCCCAGTTGTGTGGTGGCAGCCACTATTCTGGCACAGGGTGTTCTATTTTTAAAACAGAAAAAAATCACAATCCAGACCTTGTGCCCTGAAGCATTCGCATCCAGCTGACTAGCTCCTGGAGTTGGTGCTACCAGGTGTCTAGAGGGGGGGCATTCTGTTTCTGAATAGAGAAATGACAACAAGGTGGGTTATGATCCCTAAGCAAGAAAACAATCAAGTTATTAAAAAAATAGGCTTTGCGGGGTCTAGGGTGAAGGCGTTACTATTCACTTTTAGAACACCATTAGCCATATCAAGGATCATTTGAGCACTGGACATATGCTGAAGGCAGATCTACTACTCCATTGACTGGGCTAACCCTTGCAGGGGTGGACTGAGCTAAGGGAAGACTATGCTTTCAAAGAGGATAAATCCTCTGGGGATGACTAAAGCACTCAGTCGGTGATCTTGAAAGAATTTCCACCTTTGAACCAACCATCTACATCCAACCTTCCATCTGAGAAACAATGTTGACATTGACAACCAATAAGAAGGAGGTAGATATAGGAGGAGGCTTCAAAAAGTTTATGGAAAAAGTGCATGATCTTTTCATTCTATTTTCCCCACAAACATTTGGAAGCCCTCTCATATGTATAACCCAGTGTCACATGTGCTTCTAATTCATAAGCACCCTACAGGGTAGAGTAGAACTGGCCCATAAGAAAGCACCAGAAATGATTTTTTTTAAATAGAAAAGAAAAGAAAGCACCAGACAGGAGCCAGCCAGATCTTTCTTGGTGAAGCAGTTAGTCACTACCTGTGGAAGCAGTGATTCTCAACCTGTGGGTCGCGACCCCTTTAGGGGTCAAACGACCCTTTCTTTCACAAGGATCACCTGATTCATAACAGTAGCAAAATGACAGTTATGAAGTAGCAATGAAAATAATTTTATGGTTTGGGGGTCACCACAACCTGAGGAACTATCTGAAAGGGTCACGGCATTAGGAAAATTGAGAACCACTGAGTTAGTGGGTTACAACCATTGGCCTTTTGGTTAGCAGCCAAGCACCGTAACCATGGTGCGATCACGCTCCTCAGATAGATGTCTAATTGATATAAATAGATACATGTGGAGAAGACGGGAAAACATATAACAATGGCCTTTATTGGCTGGCTAGTAGATATTAATGAATTAACAAATTTCATTCAAGTTGCGTGTCTATCAATCTGATAGACAAGCAAATTTAATTTAGTAAATGAACGAAACAAATAAAAAATTAAGAAAGATCTGATGAAGATGATGATAGTATGGCTGCAGCAATTTTTCTGTCTCTATTTAAATCAGGGTTTTGAAATGGCTCCAAACAGTCTAGTCATGGCCAGTGGAAACCAGGGAGCGTACACTTACGTGAACCTGAATAGGAAACAGACAGGCAGTGGTGCTCTGCTCAAACATGGCGACTGACTGGCACACATTCAAAGTGGCACAGTTGGCCACCATCTTTGAGCAGGTCACTGCTGTTGGCTTCTTCAAACAAAAATTCACTGCCATTGAGTCAATTGCAACTCATGGTGACCCCTATAGAACAGAGTAGAATTTCTCTGTGGGTTTCCGGGGTGTAAATTGTTACAGGAGCAGAAAGCCTCGTTTTTTTCTCCTGATGAACAGCTGGTGGGTTTGAATTGCCACCCTGCTGTTAGCAGCCAGATGCATGACTGACTACATCACCAGGGTTCCTTGTCTGCTTCCTACTTGGGTCAAAATCCCATGTGTAAGCTATTTGGTCGCTACGGAATCACTACACTGGGCTTGTTTTAGTTGGCCTCTTTGGTACCTGTTGGAAGCTCTGATTGAAATGCTGACATCTAGTTTATGATTTCAAAGTCACTGAAAAGCAACATTACACACACACACACACACACACACTATGGGGGAAAAAACTGGAAGATTCCCTTCCTTCAGGGACACTTCTTCCCCTTCTTTAGCACATAGACCAAAATATGGCTGCAGAAGAGCAGGCCTTGGCTGTGGAGACACCTAACTAAGGTGGTGTGGGAAAGAGCAGGCTGGGGGTGAGGAGAGGATGCAGGTAGAAGTGAGTGGGAAAAGCCACAATGGGAACAGGATGCACGAAGGAACTGAAGATCCACTTTCCGTGACAGGCTGTCATCAGCCCCAAATAATCAACTGTCTCTTTGGAATGTATTGCTTGACTGGTAGATTAGCAGAGTAAGAAATAAAGAGAGATAGCTCATAAAGGTAGTCCATTGAAATTTCCCCCAAAAAAGTTTAAAATTTATGTCAGTATATTGATCCTTTCTTTATGGCACACACTGAATTAAATAAAAGTTGCCATAATTAAAAACACATTGAAAGACAAATTTAATATATATTTACAGTGATGTGAAATTAGTTGGTAAGTCTTGTCCATCCAGGTTGTTGTTGTTAAATGCTGTCAAGTGGGTGCTGGCAGCTCCCTATTGATGTATGCTGCAACTGTTATTGAATTACCTTCAGCAAAACTTTACTTGCATGTGACATTAATGATATTGTTCGATAATGTATGCATTATATTGGGTCACCTTTCTTTGAAATTGGTACAAATATGGATCTCTTCCAGTTGGTTTACCAGGTAGTAGTAGTCTTTCAAATTTCTTGCCATAGACGAGTGAGTGCTTCTTCTGCTTGTTGAAACATTTTAATTAATATCTAGCTATTTCCCGGACCCTTGCTTTTCATTAATGCCTTCAGCTTGGACTACTTCCTTCAGAATGATTGGTTCTTGATCATATGTTACTTCTTGAAATGGTTGATTGTTAACCAGTTCTTTTTGGTACAGTGACTCTGTGCATTCCTGTCATTTGTATTTCCTGTTTCTTTCAATAGTTTGCCCATAGAATCCGTCAACATTTCAATTCACACCTTGAATTTTTCCCTTCAGTTCTTTCAGCGTGAGTTCTAAATGTGTTCTTTCTTTTTGCCTTTC